GCATGCCAGGCGAGCGCGCTACCGCTTGAGCCACATCCCCAGCCCCTCTTTTTTTTTTTTTTTGAGATCCAATTCAGGGGCTCTTAACCACTGAGCCACATCCCAGCCTTTTCTTATATATTTGATTTAGAGACAGGGACTCACCAAGTTGCTGAGGCTGTCTTTGAACTCTGGATGCTCCTGCCGCAGCCTCAGGAGCCTCTGGGATCACAGGTATGTGCCACCATGCCTGACTGGGTGAATAGTTTTGATTAAGATCTTGGTGGTTCTTGCCAGATTCAGTTGCCCACACCTGTAATCTTCAGGGACTTGGTAGGCTGATGCAGGAGAATTGAAAGTTCAAGGCCATCCTGGGCAGTTTGGTGAGACCCTGTCTCAAAATTTAAAAAATAAAATCAGTGTCTGGGGGATGCAGCTCAGTGGCACAGCACTTGCCTAGCACATTCAAGGACCTGAGTTTCATCCCTAGTAATACACACACACTTTCTGGTGGTTCTTGCTGAACTGTCATTGGGCTTTTCTTCCCACCTTCATTCTGGTGCTTGACAGTCAGTTGTGTCCTTGTCTTCCTTTGAATTTAAAAGTTAAAGGCTGCACATTTAAGAGTTTAGAATAGCATCTTAGTTCATTTTGATATGAATTGTCTAATTTAAAACAATGTTTCTGGGACTGGGGATGTAGCTCAATGGTAAAGTGCTTATTTAGCATGAAAAAAGCCCTGGGTTCCATCCCAGCACTGCAAACTTTACAAGCAAATTTTTAACATGTTTTCAAAGAGCAAAATGATTATTCCTCATGTTTTAGCTAAAATTAATTTTTAAACAAATGTTATGCTATTAAATAGACATCATGCTGACATGTTTATAAAAGTTAAATTCAAATTTGCTGTTATGTACCAGTTTTAATTAGTGACTTAATATTAATTTGTTACAATTCTTTCCATGGATTATAGCTTCAGTTTTGCTTTGTGAGGAAAGATGTCTACTTATAAGAATATTATTTCAAACCAGATGCACCAAGCTGCGCTGCTGCCCAGTCTATTGCCTGGTGCCTCAACTTATTTTTTCCTTTTTTTTTTTTTTTTAAACTGGGGATTGAACCCAGGAGTTACATCCTCAGTCCTTTTTATTTTTCATTTTGAGACAGAATCTTGCTAAATTGCTGAGGCTGGCCTGGGATGACAGACGTGGCCACCACACCTAGTTCTGGTGCCTGAATTTATAAGACTAGGACCTCCACTGTCTTGTGTATAGGCTTTGTTCAGTGACTAATACATATTTTTTGAATATTTGTCAGACTGGTTTACCCATTCCTCAGTGGTTTCCAGGGAATGATGATTAAATGAGGTAGAATTCTGTTTTCTGTGATGTAACACATCCTCATTGAGCAGGATCTCCTAGTAAATAAGTCTCTGGGTTGCAAAGCCCTTTCACATGTTAATTCTCCTTCATAGCACTTAAATCCTCACTTGATGACACAAGTTGTTTATAACTCTTGAGACATAGACTCTAAGGAAACATCCAATTTGAAGGTTCAGAAGCCAAACTGTATGACAGACTATTCAAGAATTGCACAGCAGCAGGTGGGGGAGGCATGCAATGGGGTCTTGTGGGGGCTGGGAGATTGGGCTCAAATCCCCAGATGCTAAACTTTAAAGCTTAGAGATCCACACCCTGAGTTTATAAAGTTTCTGCAGCCTAACACTGGGAAAACCAGCCAAGCTTGGCTGGAGGACACTGGAATATTATCCTGTTCTCTAGACGCCAGGGAGCAGACTCTCCAAGTATGACTGCTGACCATTCCATTCTGTTTTCCACAGAGCTGAGCTCATATTCATAATTACTAGCTGAATAAAGTCTAATGTGATGGAAGAGACTTAATAGCATCCACATTTCCAAACACAGCAGCTTCAAGAGAGCCGTAATTGGGTCAGTGCACTGGTGGAGGACGCCTGCCTCAAAGGCCAGTTAACCTCCAAAACTTTGTCTCAAGATTTTCCTAAGAAAACAGACTCTTTGTTTTTCAGTTTTAAATGGGGTCCTCCCTGCTGCACAATCCTTAAGACTGGGTTTTTAAAAAATATATTTTTGTAGTTTTTAAAAAATATATATTTTCTAGCTTTTTTTCATTTATTTACTTAGGTACCAGGGATCGAACTTGGGCATTGGATCACTGAACCACATCTCCAGCTCTATTTTGTATTTTATTTAGAGATAGGGTCTCACTGAGTTGCTTAGCACCTCGCTTTTGCTGAGGCTGGCTTTGAACTCACAATCCTCCTGTCTCAGCCTCCTGAGCAGCTGAGATTATTGACATGCACCACCATGCCCAGCTCTTTATGCTTTTATTGCTTTTTGGTACCGGGGATTGAACCCAGGGGCATTTTACCTCTGAGCTACATCCTCAGCCCTTCTAATTTTTATTTTGAGAAAGAGTCTTACCAAGTTTCTCAGAGCCTTGTTAAATTGCTTAAGGCTGCCCTCAAACTTCTGCCCTCCTGCCTCAGCCTCCTAAATTGCTGGGATTATAGAAGGGAGCCACTGTGCCTTGTATTTGTACCTTTTAACTAAGTATCTGAGAATAATGAGACTCCACTAGTGATACCACCAAGAAATCTAACAAGTACAGGGAACTTCATAAAATGTTTGCTGGCATGGTCTGAATGTTAAAACTAGATTAAAATGCTCATGATTAATAAATTAAGGCTAAATGGTGATTTCCTTCCATCAGGTTTTTGGCAGGCTTTTCTTAAAGCTACCTTTCTGTAGTTCAGTGCAAGTCCTGGGTCATCAGGCACTAAACAGCTTCAGATTCACCACTTGTTATTTTTGGTATTTGGCACCAGAATAGATCTTTAGCTTTTGAGAAAGAACTGAGTTGATAAGCATCTCCCAGAACTCCTTCATAGCATTCAACTTTCAGGGCTGACAGCAAAGTATTTCAGGCCAACCTCAGTGATTTTTCGAGATCTTCAATAATAGCAAGACCCTGTCTCAAAATTAAAGCAGGGGGAAAAAAAAGACTGGGGATGTAGCTCAGTCTACAAAAAAAAAAAGGCAAGCRAGAGACAAACTGAAGGAAAATGAATTGAACAGCTAATTAGGAAATTAAGCAGCTAAACAATCTGGTGAGTAAAGGCACATTAATAATTCTTGTAATTAACAGTTTTTTTTTTTTAAATAGACTACTATTATTTTATTCCTTTCTCTCTGGAAAATGAAAAATCCATTAGTTTTTTTCCTCTTGCTTTTACCCAGAAATTAAAGGTTGCTAAGTGGTAATTAGCACAGCTCTTGTCAAAGCCAATTGCCTAATGGGGACCGACATTTGACTCAGGTTCAAAGAATGGAATACGGCTAATGGAGAGTTCATTAGTCCCAGCTGCTTTCTTTGACGTTCTTTTCTCCTACCAGAACAGGCAGACCCCACTTATTCTCTCCTATTTTTAGACATATAGCTGTGCTGTTATGTTCTAGAAGGCTTGAAGGCAAAGCAGCATAGGGAAGGTGAATGGTACCAGGGCCTATCTATGTTTGCAACTGTTCTTAACACCTGGGCTGGTTTGCAGACTGAGGTCTTTGCCCTTTAGATCCACTGACAGAAATAGACATTTTTCTTCTAGAAGGACAAATATGGGGTGTCCATATAATTGGTGAATAGAAGAACCTTTCTACATTTTCATAAGTTCACTATCATGCAAACTGTTCAGAATTGACTGAGCTTATGTACTGCTCTGGTACCACCAGCATGAAGGCTGTGGGTGTTGGCAAGTTGTAGACATATCAGGCTTTTCCCAGTTGGAGCTGACTCCAACTTGCCACATAGGTATACAAATCCCAGTGACCTGGAGGTAGACTAAACAAGTGTGTGCAGACCTAAAACAGATATAAAGAAGTGGAAAGAGAGGGCTGTACTGTGGCTCCATGGCAAAGCGCTTGCCTTGCACATGTGAGGCATTGGGTTCAATCCTCAGCACTACATACAAATAAAGAAAAAAGAAGTGGAAAGAATACTAGCATTAGAAACTGGAATACCTGATTTTGAATCCCCACTCTCTGAGGCAAGTCACCGAACTTCACTGAGCCCCTTTGCTCATGTACAGAATGACACAAGTTACATACTACTTATTCACCCAGTTTTTTAAAAATATTTTTTTATTATATGTGGACACAATATCTTTATTTATTTATTTATTTTAGATTTTTTTTTTTTTAAAGAGAGAGTGAGGAGAGAGGGAGAGAGAGAGAGAGAGAGAGAGAGAGAGA